GAGGGGGAGGGGTTTCTAGGTGTTAAAATCCTAGGCCCTGCCTCAGGATTGCACAGAAGCTACAGTGAGCACGTTGGTTCCATATCTGACCAGCACAGCCAAAACATCCGCTCTAACCAATGCTGAGGGGCGTGTTACAAACAAATCCAGATTACTCCCTCAGGCAGCAAAGCAGTCCTGGAGCAAACATCTCTATACTCTCCAACTTACTGCCAACTGCCAGCAATCTCAGAACGCGGAGTGGATCTACCCACGGGAGACTTGGCTACCTACAAAGAGGAAGTCTCAGGGGCCGGCCCTGCAAAACTTCACGGTTCCTGGGCGGCGTGTGAACAAGAGAGAGCGCAGAGCGTGCCCCTGTGAGTGAATTCTGTGCTGCGTAGCGGGAGGAATCCCAAAGCACAAAGGGCAGTGGACTTAACATGCATGAGACCACTGACCCTCTCCGCACGGCTGTCAGGGAAAAACGACATGTGTTGTCCTGGCTGACGGAGCCCCAAAAGGAACCGCAAACCAAACCCTTCACGGAGCAGTGTACGTCTCACTTCTCTTTCTGGTGTTTTGTCCTATTCTCCAAATTAAAAAGAACAGGCAATACGCCATCCCAACAAGAAATGCTGAGGCAGCCATGGAATTAGAGGCTCCACAGACACTGAAAAGAGATGCGATGGCCTGAGGAAGGTGACTGTGACCTTCAGCACGGAGGTGGGCAGAAGGGGAAGTGGAGGAACCGTCCAGGTAGAGAAATGGTCTGGAAACCTACAGACCCGACGTGATCGGTGACCAGTGCGGCAGCAATGGCTCCAGGTGTGGGTGCTGCGTGACCTTGCCTGGGACGAGTTTTAATACTTGATGAGGAATTAAGATGAAATGTTAGCATGACCCCTTCCTCGCTCACACGCAGTCTGTAATTCTCCCGCTACTAGCACGCCCCCCCTGCGGAGCAGAGTGAGTGTGAGGCTTTCTACCTGGCATCGGGTCGGCCACAAGCACGGAGCTCACCACCCTGAGTGATGCCGTGACGTGGTTCTTCCTCCTTTGTCTATAAGCTCCTTGGGGACAGCAGGGATGCAGATGGAAATCCCCGAGCGCCCCACTCAATGCCTGGAGGGCAGTGAACATTTTGGGGGTTAATCTGCTCCCTCCTCCTTTTCCCCCTAAATCTGAGTGTGGCTTTAAAACCCAGGCCCGCTGTCTCCCCACCCACCACCTCCATCTTGCTTTACCAGCCCAAGATTTCTTGGCAAAAACTTCCACTCTGCCATCTGCTTAACCTACTTTGAAAATTATTAACACCCCAGACTCCTGTTTTCTAATTATCTGCAATGGAGTGTGGTTTAAGTATAAGAGGACCAAATGCTCATGACTATCAAAAGCTAGATTAAAAACAAAATATGATATTTACCAGAATCTCCCACAAAGTAAAAAGAGCTCTATGGGAAGGTTTCAAGAGGGATTCAGGAAGGGACTGATGTGTTTTCAGCAACCAGTCCTCGCATGCCCTGGTTTTAATGAGACGTTTCCTTAGCAATTAAAGGATTGCTTTAAAAACATGGATTCCAATACTTCTCTTTAGTTTTGAGGAAAATCCTTTTATTCAGCTGTCTATCACACTGACACCTGACCCAAGTCATAGGATTCCCAGTACACCCGTTTCTAAAATCGTCAGCTCTGGACAGTATACTTGGGACAAAAAAATAATTTTCATGGATGATTGGCTATGTCCAGGACCTGCATATATGTTTTAACTGCTTTTTTAAAATCCATCTTCGGGGGGGAATTCTGGTATACCAGTGACGGCTTGTCCCACTGATGTTGAGAGCTATGGCGGGGGAACCAGCCAGGGCTTTTGCATGAAACCTAAGATTTACAAGGTATTTACCGGTCCTACTGTAGAATCCCCTTTGTATGAGCTCCAGCTGCCCAAATCCAAGAAATGATTTCCCACAAGCCTACTGTCTTTGCTATAACCATACACAACAGCCCGCTATATACTTGACTTTCCCATGGTGACCCTTATAATCCGGTCACTATATTATTTGAACATTTCATCCTCCCCGCCCCCGCTCCCCTGGAATAGAGCCGGAAATCTCCTCTGCCACCACTGTAAGTATGATTGAGAAGGGTTCACCTTCCCATGGTCAAGTGGCTTAATAATAGGAAACCGTCAGAACCAGATGGATCTTGGGAGACAGCACACGCCTTACGGGGCTGATAACCATGCATCCCCCTTGGCCGTGGGGAAGGGGAGATGAACTCGTCAGAGCAGATGAAGGCTTTTCCACAGAGAAACATTTCAGGTTCTAGTGCAGTGACGCCACCTCCCAGAGGAAGACAAGTATACCAGGTTTACTCTCACAGTTTCTTCTCCTGGTTTTCCCACCTTTTCAAAAATTTCCTAATACAACACTTTTCTTATTCAGAGGTCACTTCGATGCCAATTTAAACCATCAGCGTGCCCAAGCCCCCAAATAGAGGTCTCGGTCCATTCATCAAAACACAGCCTGCAATTTTCTAAGTGCGGAACCTTCAAGCACTTCACCCGGAGGCGAAATGCTTTGCACATAATTTGAGGGCACAAATGATTACAAAAAAAGACAAAGGGTTCTGGTGAGAAAGCCCTGATCTGGGAGAAAAAGTAACAATTACCAGGATTTGTCCTTTCCTAGGCACTAAACTACGAGTTTTAGATTTTTCTCTAACCTAACCCTGAGCAAATAAGCACCTACAGATCAGGAAGTAAGGAAGGGGTTGAACCAAGAGAATCGGATGTTCTTTTCTGGACATCACACTGAATGTGATGATTAAAGCTACAATGGCCGTGGACATCACCTCCCTCCTCTCCTCACCTGTAAGCCTTAGCTGTTGCCGGCTACCTCTTGTTCTGGGATTCCATCTAATGCTGGTAACAAGGACCCTGAGACATTGAGGGAAAACCACTATCAGTAACCATTTAAGAAGGTGAGGAGGTACATAATACAGCTCCAGAAGAGCTGGGTTTGTTCCCCTGGTTCCTTCAATATTCAACATTTTGTTGAATGGGTAAATTTTTATAAGAATATTTTAACATTCTAAGAGACTATCCAAGATCCATCCATGGGACACCCTGAGAAGATTTTAAGAAGCACTGCAATAAGAGACGAGATGCAGACTACGTACTGACATATAAAGTCAAAATAAATAAAATGCAAAGGCAATTGGAAGGAGGAGGGAAACATGATTTTTCCAAGTTTGAAAACTGTACTTCCTCAGTCTTAGGACCTCATTTGTTTCAAGTTGAAAGCACATGCTAATTTCACAGCAGGCGACTTCTTGCAGGACCAAAGGCTACCAGGAAGCTTCCAGGGAGAACTGAAAGCCAGCAGGATATTGCATGAAATATCACGGTCTGCACATCCAGGGGGCTTTCAAAGCCGGACAGCTTCATCAGACTCTTCAGTAAGTTCTAAACTCACCCCATGAACATCTCACCAACCGCAGCAAAGGCCCTAGTGGCAAGATGCTGTGCTACAGATTATTTTAAAGAGAAAGAAATTCACTTAAGGGAACCACAACTGGATTTCCCTGCCCCTTCATCAGGTGACAATACTGCGTGGGAAGGTTTGTGCTAAATTTTGCGTGTGCTGCTTAAGAATTATAAATTAGTTCTGATACACTTAACAGCTGCCGCATGTTGGGCCAGCCAGGAGCTAGAATTGCATGCTGAAAGCTTGCCTTAAAAATGTAATGAAAGCCCTAACCAGTTTGGCTCAGTGGATGGAGCATCGGCCTGCGGACTGAAGGGTCCCAGGTTCGATTCTGGTCAACGGCATGTACCTTGGTTGCGGGCACATCCACAGTACAGGGTGTGCAGGAGGCAGCTGATCCATGTTTCTCTCTCATCGATGTTTCTAACTCTCTATCCCTTTCCCTTCCTTTCTGTAAAAAATCAATAAAATATATTTTTTTAAAAATGTAATAAAAAAATAAAAAGTCACAGGTTGCAGAGACCTGACCATGTTCATGGCGGAAAACGCAGCTGTAGCTGTAAGGGAGCCTTCCCTTGCTGGGCTGTGCAGTTCAGCCAGGGGACCTGGAATAATCCTGAGCTGGGCACCCCAGGCCGCCTGAGCACTCAGAAGCTCGCCACTGCGCAGGCGCGCCAGCGCGGGCTCCCCCCGCCCCGGCCCAGGAAGTCAAGATAAACTTTGGGAAACGGGGCCCCGGGAGCCAGGACCAGAGCGGAGAGCGGACACTTGGGACACTGCGTACCTTACAGGGTCTTTATCCCAAGTTCCCCCGCGACCCCAGAGCAAGTTACAGGAGCGGCTCACCTGGGGGGGCACCGCGGCCGCCG